AGTTGGCAGCAGGATGTCACATGTTAGATGATGAGAAAAATAATCCTCTGAAAAATATTCAGAAGGCAATCCACCTCTGTCCAGGTTACTCTTGTTCTCAGACACATCAGGGATATTTTTTTCTTTACCCATCAGAAACAAAATTGTGCTAACAAAAATAAGTACTTTTCTGGGTTGTTTTGTTCTTTTGGGGAGTATGCTTAGAGTTGAAATTTTAACTGTCATTTCAAGTTTAGACAGGGAAAATCAATTGCTGAGTTTTAAGGCTTGTTCTGAAAACTTGGGCAATTTATTAATCCCTCAGCAGGAGAAGAGATAAGCATTATTTTGTATGTTAGACAAGAAGAACACATGTTCCCTCAGAGTCAGTATGCTACACCAAGCAGAAGAGATTTATTCCTCTCGCTTGAGAATTTAGATTGGAAGTGTTCTGTTACAATATGCTGGTTAGGAAGTACAGGCAACTGTTCACCTACTGCTTAATGGTGATCTGTATTAAATGTATGAAGTGCAAATCTAGTGGGGTTTTCAAGTGTCAATTTGCACCTGATAGTGAAATACGGAAACATTGTTTTTTCTGCAGTATTCTTGCTCTGATGCATTAGTGTCGCTGCAAGTTAAAAAATTCAGTGACTTTCCTACAGGTGCGTGCAAGACTGTGACTGCTGTGCAAAAGCAGTATGCTTCACATTTTACTTTGTTTGATCTTCAGGCTTTGGTTTGTTTTCCTGGCAAAATTCATCATCTTTGGGATGAAAACGTTACATGGGTGAAATTTTGAGCTGAGCAGTGTCCACTTCAGGACAGACCACTTTTCTAAGTGGTAGTTGCTCTTTATGGGGCTGGGTCAGGGTAAAGCTGACACTGGAATTAGCTGACACTAGAAGTAGGCACAGATCACCATAACTTTCACACTAGTAATCGGAAAAGGCTGAGTCTGTATGACTGAAAGCTGTGGAGGGCATCTTGGGATTTTTGTTGCCACTGTTGTGTGGCACGAAGTGATAGTCAAGTTTAACTTGTATATAGAATCGTAGAATCTTCTAGGTTGGAAAAGACCTTTTAAGATCAAGTTCAACCATTAACTCAGCACAGCCACGGCCACCACTAATCCATGTCCCTAAACACCACATCCACATGCCTCCTAAATCCCTTCAGGATGGTGACTCCACCACCTCCCTGGGCAGCCCCTTCCAATGCCTGACAGCCCTTTCAGTGAAGAATTTTTCCCATCTAAACCTTCCCTGGCACAACTTGAGGCCGTTTCGTAATGAATCACATAGTGTAGTCAGAAGTAAACTGGCAGGTTCGGTTAGCGCACCAGTGGCTGTGTAAAAAATACATTAGTTGGCTTTAGAAACAGCATCGTTGTCTTATAATTGGAAGACTTTTACTAGTTCAATGCAAATAGTTACCAGCTGCCTTGGGCTGAGCTGATGTAAGGGTCTGATGGAATTACCTGCCTTGTTCTGGCAATCTCACTTATCTACAGTGTGTTTTTCCATTGGTGGCTGTGGTTTTATGTTTAACCTGGTAAAGACCATTCTAAATGAACTACCAGCATATTTAGAATGGGTATGAGTTGCCTTTAACTATTCTTTTCTAGATAATCCTGCTGCCTGGGCAGTGCTGATGGCAGCCTGTCATGCTGAGAACACTGTTGTCTGTCTAAACAACACTCAGCCGAAGCGAACAGGTCTGGAGATGACACTTCTGTCTGCAGTTTCAGCGAAAAGTAAGCTATACGAGTTTGAGTTTTTTTAAATAAAATCGGAATGCTCTAAGCTTGCAATACTCTGGAATCTCAGAAGCTTGCCAGTAAGCTGAGAATTCCTCAGTAGTGGTTTGAGCTCTGACTGTATTTTATCACATAAAAATGCGAAATCCTAGTGCACAGCTAGGGTTAATTACTGAATCACAGCTTGCTTTCCCCCTCCAAAGCCTCACATGCTTTTTTAAAATAGTACTTACGAACTCTGATGCCCAAGTGGATGGCTGTATTACAGCATAGAAACACTGATTACGGGGAAGGGCTGAAGTACTCTTGGGTTCTGTAACTCTTCCAATAGAGAGATAACCTCCACCTCGGTCTTGCTCAATGTCTACAGTATTTTGAAAACTGGAATTAAAATTCCATGTGTGATGGATTGTTCTCAAACTATTACCTCAAATAGTGTATTCTTTTTTCTTCTCTTCTTGCTTTTAATTTTACTGTCTCCTAGTGTTCGTACTAATGCAGGAAGCCGTGTCAGGTTAATACTCCTAAGAGTTCTCTCTTCCCAGATGTACAGCATGTGAAATGGTATGGCACTACAGCATATATGGTAGTCTGGTTAAGTGTTTTTTCCTGGTTTTGCAGCTAGAGAAAACAACCTTCCACATAAATATATTCAGACTCTTGAGGACTGGTGTCTCTGTCAAGCTATTACAAGCCTAGAGGAGACTGGTAAACTCTCAGAAGCTGAAGCTCTTTGTACCAAGGTATGATGGCATCATACTGGCGGATTATGGTAGAATTAGCAATTGTCTCTTCCATCAGAGCTACAAGATGCAATAGGGGTTGGTATTTTATCCCCTCCCCAAGATACTCTGCTTGCAAAACCAGAAATGTGTTAATAGTTGAAACAAGCAATGTATGACATGACAAAGCTAAGTCTGCCCTTCTGCTTTTATTCATTAACCTAGTATTAAGCATAATGTTACAGAAATCCATGGCAAGAAATCCAGGTAGGAGACTTGCAGGGGACTTGGATGTATTCTCCTGTGTTGTGCTGGTTCTTCATTTCAGATCCACAAGTGGATGTTTAATAATTTAGAAAGGAAAATCTTGAGGCAACACAACTGGGGAAGGGGACTGGCGCGTTTAAAAGCCTCAGGTGTGTGTTTCATGTGTTCATGAACAGAAGACTTGGCAAAAGATAAGCCAGTTGGACACAGCAGCACACTTCCCTGATTTTCATTAACGAAAATGAGTATTCCCGTGCAAATGTGCTCCTTGCTTATGGCATTTCTGCATTAACGGGGAAAGGAGTTTAAAATACACACACCAAACCCAAAATAACTCCTGATTCAGTGACCATGCTGGTTTTGTAGGGGGAAGTTTGTTTGCTTGGTGAGAAGGCATTTTGCTTTTCTGACCAGCATATCTGCTGGCCTGTCTTACATTAACGACAGTCAGGGATTTCTAGACATACCTGGGTGGGGGGGAAGGTCATGGTCTATTTGGTTTGATTTTTGTTAGTTAAATAGTTTAGGGAGAGGACAGTCAGTGACTGCGATTTGTGAAGAAACAAGTATTAGTCTCTGGTACCATAAAGTCTCCTCGACAGTTTTCAGCCCCAGGATTCTCAAAGGCAGTATAACTGGGGATGATGAGTCAGGCACTGCAGTTGTTCAGTTTGAGATAGGCAGTGTGATTCCACACTTGCTAATGGGGGCAAATTGCAGCAAATACCAGCAGCTCCTGTTGTGTTTCACAAAGTCTCTGTGTGTCCATGTATTCTTCGCAAAGCAGCAGCTTCTGAAGGACTCACACACAATGCTGATTTTGTTTTGTTTTGTTTTGTTTTTTTTAATGGGTGAAAAGAGTAAGTGCTGTTTCTTAGGGCAGATCGCATTGTAATTCTTGGAAGTATTGTGGTTTGAACAAGTAAAATAAGATGTAATGTGACTTGCAGAAGCTTTACATGCTTCACCTGAGAAAGATAAAGCAACAGATGGCTAGTTTTCTGTCTTTGCTTTATTGCGTGTTCCCAAAAACACTCTGCAGGTATCTGCTGATATTGAACAGGAAATGTTTAGTGAGGAGCTTCTGTTCCAGTGAGAACAAAGCACCTAGCTGGGAGAACAAAAATTGCTTGGAACATACCCAAGGTCACTTTCAGCCACCAGACAGGTTTTTACCTCCCTTATCCCAAAATCTGTAATGATTGTGAAACCAAAGGAGAATTGGAGGTCTGCCGTTTACCTATCTATCTCTCAGAAACCTCTGAGGGTAGGACATGTACAAATTTTGAGGACAGAAAAAACTTTATCTGTTTTCATGTGTCAATTCCTGGAACACTCCTTTGTGTAGAGTAGGAGGAAAATGCCATGTTGCAATCATCGTGAGAATGCTTTAAATGCTGTTTTCTGTAAAGACCAAAATGGAAACAGTCGAAGTATCTTCTGATATTTGGAAATGGTAACTCTGATAGCACATTGAGCCTTGGTTTTGGTTTTAGGGTTTAAAAAGCTGCCCGGAGCACCCAGCTCTGTTTTTGCTTTTGAGACAAGTTCAGTGTAAGCAGCTGTTGCAGTCTCACAAAGAACTTCCAAACAACATCCTGGAGGAGCTTCACAAGACGGTCATGGCCAGTTCAACTTCCGTTGCAGCCTGGCAAGTAAGTGTGGATCTTCTCCCTGACTTTGGTGTACTGCTGTCAGCGGTGTGTGCACTCTGCGTGGGTGAGCGTTGGTTTCACTGTTTGCTTTAGTTTGTCCGCCAACAGCCAGTGACAGAAAAAACAGCTTATATTCAGTTCATTATAAAATAGTAACATTATGTTAATTTACTTTAATATTTGAAACAATAAGGGCTGGTAGTAAAAGCAAGCAGATGTGAAGGCAGGAGAATTAAAACCTTGAGATAAACCACTGGCACCTCTGTCTTTAGGTATCTGTGGCTTTGCATATGGGCAGAAACCAGTGAAGTATTCCATAACCCATAAGTCAAGTAAACGTTTTCCTCATACAGTAATAGACAATTCATTATTCAGGATCTGAAAGTCTGGATAAGTCTCTTTCTCCATAACCTCCTGATGTCAGGTGTCACCATTCGTTTGAGAAGGATGAGTCTGCAGGGGAGAGAAATCACTCCCACTGGGTGTTCACTCACTTACTCCCTTCCATGGCATCACAAGAGACCATTTTTAGTTAATGTGAAGGTGCTGTAACTCGCTTCATGTGCTGCTTCTGTGAAACAATCCAAGAAGTCTGTCTCACACACGCCTTCTGGCGATGCAGCATACTTACTTATTTCATTCCTAGCCGTTCCTGTTAGTTATGGCTACTGTCTTCCTTCACCAGTGTTGTTTATAAAAATTCCATGAGCTTTTGGAGTCCTGTATGTAGTTGGAAGACTTGCGGTGCTCCCTCTGCCTGTCAAGCAAAGCCCCGTTTGTGGAAAGATTGACGAGAGCAGATTGCAGTCTTAGAAAATCAGTGCAAGGCTGCTGTAGAGATCATTATCTCACTTGTTATGAGGCTGCAGATCTCCATCCCTTCTGGAACATATGAGTGTAATTTGTGGAGGGGTTCTTTTTTATGACTCACTTTTCTTTTGCTTGAGAGATTTCATCTTTCTGAACTGCAGAACTCAGACTGGATTTGCAAAATATGGGGGCATGCAAGAAGTGATTGTATCCTCTAATTTAGTACTATATTTTGAAAATGGAATTAGGGCTTATATATATTCTCCAAGCATCCCTTGCATAGCCCAGTGTCATCTTGCTTACAAGCACAGAGAAGAAGTGAACTGAAAGTGTATGTGATCGGGGATGAAGGGAAAGGTTTTGTTTTTTTTTTTTAATTCAGGCCACAGATAAGATACCTCTGAGGAAGATCTTTTCAGTCTTCAGTTAAAGAAGGTATTTATGAGGGCTTGGATAGCACTCTGAAAAACCCTGGCTGCTACATCTGTTCCTAATGGATAGATTTATGCATTCATGTTTTCTGGCTCTAGACTTCCAAAGAGTTTGATGGATATTTTGTCTTACTCAGTATATGTCGTGATGCCTTACAGTTTTACTTAGTTAGAGGGGGCCATTACCTCTGATTTTTGCTTACGTTTTTGGCTTTTGTCTAAATGGTTGCTTTGCAAGATTTAGGAGTACTGCACTACCGATCTGATGGCTCTTCTGCTTTTTGTGCTGTGGCTTACCAGGAAAATGGAGAAAAGCTGATCTGGCAGAGCTGCCATTGTGCCTTTGCATGAGGGATCTCTTCCTCACGGCTTGAGTGCTAGGTAACTTCTGCTCCAAAAAAAACTGAGGCCAAGGAAAGCTCCTTTTCCCTGCATATAAATGGGTCTTTTAATTTACAAAGTAGTCCTGCAATTTGATGTCAAGGATGCACAATCTCACTATTGCTAATAAATACTTTGTGGTGTGTCTCTTAATTATACGTAACTTCTGTGCATTAGAAGGGTTAGGAATTTTGCCTCTTTCAACACCAGGCAGTCTTTAGCTAGCAGAAGTCTAAAAATCTTTGCTTAAAAGCAAGGGAATTTTTTTTTTTTATATATAAGTTGCTTTGTTTGCTTGGTGATCCAGCAAAGACTATTTCTAAATGTACCTTACGCATTTTGATGAACATCATGTACATGTCAGGGTTTTGCAAACTTGTGGCTGCCTCGGCTTCAAAAAATGTGACGTGACTGCAGAATTAAAGAAGGGGGAGTTAGAATCCTTTTAATTCTTGTCATGAGCAAATCCAGGACATCTTGTGCTGGCGGAGCAAGCAGCAGGAGCATGAAACTTCACAAATCCCAGTGTGTACTTCCTTAGCCCCATCTAGCTCCCCCAGCATGACCCTGCTGGGTCAGAAACTGTAGCCCAACCCTTCATCTGAGCTCAGGATCACACTCTATCTTCCTGGCGTTATGCAGGATGGCTGGAAAAAGCTTTGCTCCAGGGGAAGAATTACCTTTTCATCTCTACAGAACTTCCAGCAACAACTGAGGCATCACACAATGCTCTTGTAGTCTGAAGGGTGACTAACAAAGCCAGGTGTGTTTATTCACCTGTCAGCAATCTCCACATTAAGACAGCCATCAGACACCCGTCCATGGGTGGTCAAGGGAAGTCTTAAAGAAATTACTTTGAGGTGTTGTGCCAGCTCTGCAGCAGGCCAGGCTTTCCTGCAAGGCACTGCACAGTGTGTTGTTGGAATGAGGGCTGGGTGGGTGGTGGTATGTTAGCTAATAGTGTGCTGTGGTACTGTCATAAATTGAGCTAAATGATATTATCTAATGGATGTGTGTTTTGGTGGCTGCATAACTGATTTTGTTGGATCTTTATTTTCAGTGGCTGGCAAAAGTATATCAGTCTCAAAGAATGATGGTTGGAGCAGAGATGTGTTACAGAAAGAGTCTGCAGTTGGCATCACAGCAGGGCACCTGGAATGAGAAGTTATCCAGTCTGCTCAGGCTAGCTATGCTCGCGCTGGAAATCTGCATGGTAGGATAATCGAAAGTACATAACTACATGATTTCACTTGTCCATGGGATGCAGGGTTTCTGCAGTCTTTAAATGAAGCCCATGTATAAATGACTTCGGATTTCATGAATGACAACTAGAGAATAAAATGAGACTGCAAGGGTCAGTGGACTGCTTTTAGAATGTCTCTTTGTAAGTGAGGTTGCTGTGAAATACTCACATAAAACCACTGTGTACGTAACTTGTTCAATAAGGCTTATGTGTCTAGTAACAGATTCAGTTTGATCATCCAAAGCGATGTACCCATCAACTCCCTGTCCGCTCGTTCAGACAACTTCCTTACACGTTTTTCCTGCACTGGTGCCTAGAGACTTCAGTCAAGTTTTTCATGTAACTTTATGCCGTATGGTCATTTTTAGATAGGTTTCCTTGCCTTGAAGTGTTAAGACAATCTAAGGGAGGTTTACCTTGTGGTGTAAAGAAAATCATTCTACTCCTTGCACCCAGGGGCCAGGTGAACATAAATTCTTAGCAAATGTTTATTCTCTTTAAAAATTGTCACTCTAGAAACCTGAAGTGCACCGCCGGACTTCTCTGAAGACTGGTGTAAAAGGTAGATACTGCTGTGGTCTTGGCTGACGCTTTTTCATGTATCTTAACAGATGACAGAGCTAACAGCTGTAATCAGAATCAGGCAAAGGAACCTCATATATCCTGAGTACTTACATAGGAAAAGGCAGTCAGGGTTATCGAGGATAAAGCTTCAAAGCTGTGGCTCCTGATATGCAGAGAGAATCTCCCTCAGTGTAGATAAGTTTCTTCCTCACAAACATATGCGTCAAAAGGCAGAATTTGTCAAGTGACAGGATTTTCCTCCCATGATTCTTCTGTCTGTTTTTGCTCCCTGTTTCCTGTACCTCCTAAATGTCTCCACAGGTCACAAGGTGCCCTCTAACTTAATACTACTTCAGATGCTTCAGATAATACTGAATTGCCTGAAAATGTGCAAGACTTCTTTAAAAATGTGATTGGTATAAATGTGGTTATCTCATCTCTAGTTTTTGCATGAGCAGAGAAGCTGATCAGTGCATTTCTGTTTGGCCACTCTAATCTGCACTGCCTTAATAAAATGTGCAAAAGCCTGGTGAAAACCTTACTTAGATCCAAGAAAGCTCCATGTTTGAAAATTGCTTGTTTCCCAATTTTCTGTCTAAATGAAGATCTGGGCACCCCTTCAAGTTCAGTAATTTGAATGCTACCCGGTCACAGTGGGGATAAGGCAACTTCTCTTAAGCCAGATGATGCAGCAATATGCTTAATAGTTGCTCTATTAGGTAATTACCATCTTGGAGTTGGTTTTTGCTTCTGGTAAAATATGATGTCACTTCTGGGGCTAAATGCTACATTCTAGAATAGTCTAGTGCATGGGATAAAATTTTACAAGCTCAAGAGCCAGCAAGGGTTTGTGAGTAAAAGAAGCATTACTAAAACACACATGGAAAAAGTAAACTTATTCTTTGCATAAACAAGCGAGTGTATCACTGGCAAGGCTGGTCCCAAAATATTTTATGTGACTTTTCCAAGCTCTTCTAATCACTTTTGTTTGGTTTTTTGGGGTGGTTGGTTTTTTTAATCTTTCTAACCTGCCAATATTTTATATTACTCAGAACAGCTTGAATTAAACCTGCTCTTCAGAGAGCTGCAAACAAAAACTGAATTACACTACACACTACAATAAACCTCTTTCTTTTTCTCTTTTCTTTTATTGTAGGCTAATGTCTCAAATGAGCACTGGCCGTCCTTGGTTGAGGAGGCAACAGCTGAAGCTTTGAAGCTTTCTTCTTGCCCCGTGGCTACTCTCTTCCAAGCACTGCTACAGTATAACCGCAAAATGGGGGCAAGGTATGTGAGATCTGTTAATTTTAAATGGAACACACTGCCTAGAAGTACAAACAGTCATTATCTGCAGATCTAACTCCAGGAAGTAAAAGAAAAGCGAAAAGAGGAATTAATTAGTGAAGTAGTATGGCAGTTAAAAGGGAGAGAGGGAAGAGGTTAGTGTTGTGGGGAGCAGGAAGGAGCAGAATCTTCCTCCTTTTCTTAAAAAACCCTCACATATATAACCTTCATACCAAGGGAAAAACAGCTGTAAGACAACTTCTGTTTTAATAGAGTGTTACCTGAATAAATTAATCAGGAAGACTAAACATTCTTAAAGGTCTTGTTCAGTAGCAAAGTGGGAACAAATACTGCTGTCCTGTCTGCTGCTGGGATTCATTTTGATCGTGTGTTGGGCTCACAGGCAAAGTTTGTGTTCATTCCCGAGCAACCAGGTGCTCATTGTGGCTTTTTCAGGCAAGGGAGGAAAATTCAGGGGAGGTGGTCTTGGAAGCCTCCTACTTTGTGAGTTTGATTATTCGGTATAGTTTGTCTTTTATGGTATTTTTGCTTAAGCTATGAAAAATGAGAATATTCTTCATGTTTTTGTTCAATAACTTCACCCGTTTTCATGGACAGTTCTAATAAACTGGCATACTTTCTCTGTGGGCTTTTGAGAAGGTGACGGGCAGCCTAATGCGATTGCAGTGATTGTCGATGATAAAAATTGGGATGAAAACTTACGTTATCAATTAAAAACAGTCTTGTTACAATTTCAGCTATTAACTTACGTGAACAGTGAGGTGTATCACAAGATCGAATCGATCTGCCTAAGTGTTTCAAAATCCTGAAACAAGAAATTAATCCTAAATACAAATAGCAAACAAAAACTAGGTGCAGCCCCCTCAGCAGCCTGTTAAATCACAAAGTACCGGATAATCACATCGGTTACGAATGGCAGAAGTCTTGAACAAGAGCCAAAGGTGATGGAACACCAGTGAATGAGTATGACACCACTAAACTTAATTAACAGTTTCCACCAGATTTCTAATGACTCAGTGAGCTTGAAAATGCCTTGGTTAGGTCTGAGATGGGGGTGCTGGAAGGTAGTATCAGCCAAACAGATGTTTAGCCTTTGTGTAGTACTCTGTCTTCCAATTTCCTTCTCTTCTGCAGTTTCACATCTTGCTTCTGTGTTTGCAGGAACTGCAATGTCTCTTGTGAGTGCCTGTACTAAACATATTTGTGTATGATATTAAATTCTGCTGGGATTATTAAGATTTACTGTAGTACCTGCCTTTCTGAGGTTGTACTGTCTGCCTACAGATTTCTTCCACAGCTCTTAAACAAGAGAATACCTACCTGCTGTACTTGTTAGCAGATCATGTGCTGAAATCAGAGTCTGTGCTGAGTTCACAGACAGCAAGTTGTTTCTCCTGGTACTGTAGCAGTCATAAAATATGCTATGTCAGTCTAATTTGGGTTACTTGCTAGCTAAAGCACCGACTTGAGTGCAGTATATTAAGCATAACAACGGTGTAATGCAGTGTTCCTTAGCATTCTAGATGCAACTCTATAGGAAACAAAGGAATGTGCAGCTCTGCTCCTCACTTTTCTTGTGTGGTATGGAAATAAGGATCTTCCCTTACATTACTCCTGATGGTTGTTTCTTGCTGTGGGATACTGGTATGTTACAGGCCACCCAGTTGGCTGCATTTGATTTGGATTATGTTTTGGTTATGCTTCCAGGGAGACTTTTAAGAGTGGTTTATCAAGCGGGGAATCCAGAAACCATTGTGTCGGTGGCACGCTGGTACCTCCTGCAACACCTGTATGCCAAAGATGATTATGAACTAATAGATGTAAGACATTCCATTTTATACAGAAATTCAGTCTGTTTACCTTCGGTATCATGCCTGCAGCTTGGAAGTGGGGTAGACGGAGGCTAAGGAGGTGCTGGCTTACTGCTCTAGAGATTGCAGTGTTAAAGGATTCTACACTGACAAAACATACCTCAGTTTTTGAAATTGTTTGTTTGAAAGTCTTGTGTTCCTCTGTGCAATACTAATGAAAAACAAACGGTGAAATCTCTCTCTATTCCAAACTGGCAAGAATTCTACTAGTGACTTTTCAGTAGGCTTGAGGACCATTTCATCAGAACTTCACCAGAACACATAAACGCACTGAAAATGCTAATTCCCTCTAGCCTGGCTGGAACACTGTGGTATCCCTGACCTGAAAGATCTGAACAGCAGAGTGCTGTACTTTCTGTGCTTAGGACTTTTATTATGTCTGTAACGGTACATTATTTTCAGTACACAGCAAATGGCACATTAGTTTCTGTTGACAGTACTTCACAAATGGATTTGGTCAAACTCGAAAATCCACACAGCTCTTTCATGTGATGCAAAAGGGGGGTGGTTCATTTTGGTTTGTAACTGGAATCACTTTGCTACTCCAACTGAATACACGCTGCTAGTAATCCCCTCACCGCTGCCACTGGCGTGATGAGCTCTTCTGCCCAGATTAACAGCTGTTCCCTGGTGAAGCTTCGAATGTGGAGCCAAGTTTCTTTAGAGGTACAACACCTCAAGTAGGCTCAGCATTGACCAAAATCCATTGTAAGACACACAGGTTCTTAATAAAGCTGGAGTTAATGAGTTTGGATGATCCTGGTGTGATCTCATTGCACTTGCTTCTGCAAAGTCATCTATACTCCCTACCCCTGAGTACAGCAACAGTAATGGCTCAAGATTTGCTCAATTCTACTTAACGGTTTTCCTTTTTAATACGTGTAATGTGATTGCATTAGAAGAGAAATGCCAGAAGCTTGTGAACATCAGGCTGTCATGGGAGGTTTTGTAACTAGTAGAAAATCTGCAAATAGGAGGTGTGGAAAATAAACAAAAGAAGGGTAAATTTAAATGGGAGAGGGAAAAGGATACCTTGGCAGTTTTGTTTAAGTAGCTGCAGCCACTGCTCCTGTTTGGCAAATTTAGATTTATACAACTGTACTAGCAGGAGGCAAGTGTGTGTCAGCAGGGAGATAGGTCTCATTTAGCTCTGCCAGTTTAGTTGCCAGCTGATAACTTACTTGTCAGACTTGTTCTCAGCCTCAAGTAACAAGTGATGCTGTTGTAGTGCCTTGCAGGTGACTACAGGTTTTGCAAGTCATGACAGGGTGGGGGTTTCAGGTAAGCTGATGTGTTATGTTGAATATTTCCTATCTAGCCTTATGGATTACTTAATCTCTTAAGGAAACTGCATAGCAGAAATTAAAATGCATTTGAGAATGCCAGTAAAATACTAACAGTAAAATATTAAATTGTCAGGTTGTCATTGCTTGGTTTTTTTTGTTTTGTTTTTTTCCTCTCCAGGTGCTTATAGAAAATGCCAAAGCTCATGGGGATATTAGAGCTCTGGAACTGAATGAGAAATTGTCAGCAAGTGCCTAAATATGGACTATCTCAAGTGAAAAATCTTGCATTCACGCAGTGTAATCATCCAGGAGCATATGTGGTTTGGGCTTTTTTATTTGTCGGTGCCTGGTTGTGCTTTTTTGTTGCATCAACTTAAACTTTGTCTTTAGTTTTACTTATTAGTAAGTAAAGTAAGTTACTTTGTTGACGTAGGTTATTTTCTTGTTGACTTGAGTTCCACCATACAAATACACTTTATTTGAAAGGAAAACCCTGATTTTTGCTTCTGTTTTCTTCCTTGCTGAAACCTCAGCGCTGTTCGCGGTGGAGAGTACTTGTCTGTTTCCCCCTTGGCCACGCGCAGAAGTACAATATTAACTGCACTGGCAGTGATGCAGGGCTTTCTTGGCCAAGATTCTTATTAGCTAAGTAGCAGTACAGCATCTTCTCTCCCAGATACTGTAAAACATTCAGAGATTTTAAAATGTCTGTATTCCTCTGGTATAGTTTGTTTGGCCATTGAGACCCAAATCCACTTGGAACTTCATGTGTGTTGCCATTTTATACTTTTTTAAGGTCTTTTTTTCTTTTTTTTAAGCTGATTTTCATTACAGCAGTGTATCCTCTTGGCTGCAGGCTTCGGTAAACATTCCCATCAAGAAAAGCTTGTGATTGTCAGGGACAGGGTCATATTTATAAATGTGTATAACAGGGTCTATTTATGTCTCGGTAATTCTGCTGCTGACTGCTTAATTGGATGAATCATGACAGTGGTTCTTAAGACATGATGTTATTTGCCTGTATGTACATGAAAATAAAAAAAAACAAAGCAGTGATTCTAATCTGTTAATGCTGCCATTAGGACTTCCAAACTGTGGACAAGTCACGATAGCTGTCCATTTCCTGGTTAAAATGACTGTCTGCCCACCAAAGCCTTACGAGGCCTCGTACCATCCTGTGTTACAGAGAAGAAAGGACTCCTCAGGGCGTGCAGTGGGATGGCACCACACTTGGTTTCAGAGCCCGTTGTGTCGAGCTCGAAGAAAGCAGGATGCCAAGCTGGTGCGTGCGGGATGCGCATCCCTGCGACCAGCCGTGCCCCGTGAATCTCTGGGAAGTGGGCGAGAGCCAGGAGCGTGTCACTGGTATTTTAAAGAGGAAAGCTCAGCTCGGTAGGCTGGGGTTTCTACTCTGCGGAGGTGAGTAGAAACCTCTGTGAATGGCAAGAATCCCTCCTTGTCTCCCACACTTTCCTTCTCCCACCCATCACCATGCAAAATGCCTTCCTTAAAAAGATTTTTTTCGGTAAATTTAGATCGATTGTGGTTCCCTTCACAGCCTGCTGTCACACAGACTTGAACTATCAGCAACTGCAAATATTAAAAGGGAATGTTGCAAAAGCCAGGCTCGTGACTCTCAAGACTAGCTGTAACTTTTTTTAGGTTGCTACTATTAAAAGCCTCGAAGTCTTTACAGCCTGTAGTTCGTATCCTTGGCGTATGTTCCTGACATCTGTGCCTCCTACTCTTGCGGTGGGAGAACCATCATCGCCCTGACGCCAGTGGCTGCCTGCCCTTGTTCTGCACGAGCATTAGCCTACAAGTTTTTCAGCACTGAACCTTCAGTACTTTTTAACAACGAGAAGAACAGACAGATAACAGCAGGCCAGAGAAACCAGCTCAGTAACTGTCAGCTGTGAATGTTCCGTGCTTGGAGGGAAAAAAATTAATAATGCAATGGGGTTTTTTTCTCTTTAGAAGACCATGAAGTTGCTTTTTCTGCCATCAGTGATGAACTCCTTGAACAAGATAATTATACAGCCCGAAGTTGTATTACGTGCCCTGTAGGAAAAAATAAACCCACGTATCTCTACCACCTACTCAGTGAAAAGTGCTCGGGGAGCATGAGTTTAAATTGAAACTTCTGTAAAATCCACCACTAAGAAGTATAAGTCCTGCTCTCCTCATTTTTGGCAATGCATAGCCTCTACAGAATTGGCTCTTGTAGGTCTGCTCTAACACTGCAACACCTTGTAAATCCACACCGGCTGACAGCCCTTTACTGTTGCGGAGCTCGGCTCCGGAATGCTAGGTTGTGTTCAAAGGCAACTGAGTGTTACTGAGCTGGGGAACGGAGAGCTGGTTATGGATTGCACTGCCTGGGAAGTCCGGCATTCGGCCACTGTTGCTGTAAAGGGGAAAAAGTTAAACGTTCCCCAGCCATTATTTGTTGCATTATGTTGGCTTGTGCTGAAGGCAGAATGCAGTGAGGTCTCAGGAATTTCAAGGCAGAACTTTTCACTGCTTCAGATACAAAGGGCTTTATATGCTTCTTGCATGTTCTTTTATGAGGCAGTGGCTTGCTTCTGAGGATTTTATTTATTTTTGGGGGTCATGCACGTTCATCTCATTCTCAGTATTTACCAAGCAGCACTGGATTGGATTTCTGTGCAGCTTCTGAGCTCTCAAAATGGTATAATGAAATATAGTGGGTAATTACAATAATTTAGTCTTGCCTAACATTAGCTTTTAACAAATCACAGATATATACTTGTTTCTCCCTGGTACATTTTTTTATACCTTTTATATTTTAAAAAAAAAATGGGGGTTTTAAAAGTCATAGATATAAAACCCTTGACAACAGAGAAACAACCCTTTAATTCTGCACAAATGCACCCTGGCAAGGAAAAGTGCATCCCTAACCCTGCAGCCCAGCTGCATATGGCCCTAGATGCTTGGAATTCAGCTTTCCTTTTCCTAGTTAATTAGCTTTCTACTGATTTAACTGAACAACTGACAGTTTAAATAATGTTTAAATGTTTCTCGGGGGAGACAGGGATCATTCTGAGTTGGGTTGCAATGCGGAGTGATAAATATTGAGATAAGTCCTTTATGCAGTGAAGTCACTCAATAGCAACGTTCCAAATAGATCTTCGTGTGTGATCTGAATTTATGATTAGGCCCTCAAACCCTTCTACTTTAGTCATAGAAATCGGTGTTCAGATAAAGCAACATGCGGTTGTGCCATACTGCCATGTGAAAAGACAGGTAGATGGATGGATAGAAAATGTGCAGCAATGCTTCTGTCCTTTTCTCTCCTCCAGGGTTAAACGCTGAAGGTTGGCCTGGCTTTTTAAATTTTTTCTCTTAATTTTTTTGTGTGGTTTGGGGTTTTTTTGTTTAAACTCTGAGCTTATAGAGGCATGTTCCTTAATAATCTTGTATTTCACCTTTTCAGTGTTCCTCAGTATACTGAGCACTGCAGCATCCAGGGTACTCAATGGGGAGACAGATAGACCAAGCCATGCGAACTGCTGTGTGGCAAGAGTGCCTAGACGGAGCCACAGAACAGTGTGGGAGGCTGCCCTCAACCCAAAAGTCCTGCTATGAGTGCACAAATGGAATTTAAGTCTACTCTGAAGGCAGAGCCTCCTGTGATGGATGGAACATATAGTGAGACCAAAATATGGTTTTGGAGTAGGTCAGAAACTGCTGCAGGTTATTGTGGTTTCAGTGCTGCTGGTTTCCTGCTGCTTGTAGGAAAGGAGCACCTCTGCTGGGGGGACAGGCTGAGAGTTGGGCTTGTTCAGCCTGGAGAAGAGAAGGCTCCGGGGAGACCTTATTGCAGCCTTCCAGTACCTGAAGGGGCTACAAGGAAGCTGGGGGGGACTTTTTACAAGGGCCTGTAGTGACAGGACAAGGGGTAATGGGTTTAAATTGAAAGTGGGGAGGGTTAGATTAGATATCAGGAAGAAGTTCTTCCTGGAGAGGGTGCTGAGGCACTGAACAGGTTGCCCAGAGAAGCTGTGGATGCCCCATCCCTGGATGTCTTCAAGGCCAGGCTGGATGAGGCTTTGAGCAACCTGGTCTAGTGGAAGGTGTCCCTGCCCATGGCAGGGGGGTTGGAACTAGATGGTCTGTCAGGTTCCTTCCAACCCTAACCATTCTGTGGTTCTATGAAACGTGGCAAATGCAGACCTGACACAAAAGCAGGCGCAAGGTTGGGCATCTTTCCATGGTTGTGAAGAGCCTGGCCACTAACAAAACACACAGAGGTCATCTGCATCTGTGGCTGTTCTTCATATTTTTACAATACTGAAGTGATTTTAGGACTTTTTACTCACTGGATAATTGAGCGTACCAGAATTTCTGCTGTATGAGCAATGTGATTAATTGCTGAAGGAGCACTCCCTGCTTCCTGCATCAACTGGGTTTCAGCCGTCACGTTGTACAGCTCTGGCTTCTCAGAGGAGCCACCTGAAATCCGTGGCTTTGAGAAACCTGCTTTTCTGTAGAGCAACAAGCACAGCAGACTTGAGATATGGGTCATTGAAGGAGGATTATCTGAGCTGTTTTGAACTTTCTCTCTGTGCAGTGGATGGTGCAGGGCTTTCTGGAAACAAACATGGTGCAGAAATTCAGATTTCTATTGCAGTTGCACTTTGACCTCCTTTCTTGGCCTCCTTGTAAAGAACTTTGGCTTCCTTTAGGAAATTATACTGATAGTCTTCTTTTGCCCTCCTCCCAGAGCTTCTCTTCTTATTTCCAGACTATTTTTCTTCTTTTTTGAAGCAAAAACCACAATGTCAGTTACATTTTTCAGTGTTCTACTGCAAACAATCAGTTACTCAAACAGAGGAGATAAGAAATAAACCTTAATGTATCTTCTAATGATTAACTTGTATTTTGTTGCCTGTACCCCATTTATTAGCTACTTTTAGCAACACAGTAATTTACTATAGTAGGTTCAAATCATGCATATTCTGATTCTATGATATAGGTTAATCATATTCTGTGATTCTGTGACACCCGTTTTCATAACGCTATTGCTACACGCACCTTGTGTGCAGCTGGCGGAGTTAATAGACCTGGTACCGATGTAGCTTATGGCAGGGCTGGGCTAACTGCACTTAACTAGTTTGCCTAAAGTCTTTTAAATACTGTGAACACTTTTATATGAAATATGCTTGTAACATTTCAAGCCAACCCTTAGTTTATCTTTTGTTTTACAGCGAAGTCCCCTGTGGTAAAATTGCT